TTTTGAATGACATTCTGTTTTGTTTTACCCAATTTAGCATCCGTATTACCAGCTGCTGGTGCTGACCATGGGCGGAAATCTGTTGCCCAGAGAGCTGCCGCAGCGCAGCGCATGCCGCTTGCTGTTGATCATCTGGCTGCTATGTGCCTGGGTGCTGCGCAGCGCCTACCAGTCGGGCATGTATCAGCTGCTGCGCCAGGATACGCAACGCAATCCGCCCCAGACAATTGCCGAGGTGCTCGCGCAGCGCTACACGATCCAGCTGGTGGCGGGCAATGCGGAACGCTGGCTGGAAAGCTTGCCGGAGCTGCGCGCCCAGCCGCTGCGCCAGCTGGAGGCCAGCGAGCTGCAATCGTTCGCCGGCCTGGCCGCACAAAGCGGCAGCGATGAGCGCGTGGCCATCATCACGCCCTACGAGTACTTTGGCTACTTTCGCAAAGTGCATCCGATGAGTCGGCGTCTGCATTTGGTGCGGGAGCGCATCTTCACCCAGCAGCTGGCCTTCAACGTGCGCCGGCACTCGCATCTCGTCGGCGTGCTCAACAGACAGATAATGCGTGCCCATGCCCATGGCTTCCTGGAGCACTGGACGCGTCAATATGTCAGCGCCGTCGATGAATCGGACGAGAGCATCGCACGCATTGCCGCAATACCCTACGAAACTGTCAACGGCCAGCAGCCGGAGGGCGAACTGCGCCTGAGGGAGGATGAGCCAGTGTCGGCCAAATTGTTGGTGCTCTCCTTCAAGGAGCTGGCCGCCCTATTCTGGCTAACCCTGTGGGCCCTGCTGTGCGCCATACTTGTGTTTGGCCTCGAACTGTTGCTGCATAAATAATGCCAACATTTATTCTGTGCTAAAGCGTTTTAATTAAATTACTTCATAATCCCGCCGCAGCCAGAAAACAAAGCACTTGCCACAGCCCACACCCACACACGGACACGCACACACACAGCCCGGCTGGAGAGCTGCTCCTGCTGATAGTTGCCAGCGTTTGCTGCTCGTATCGTAAAAACGCAAAACGTTTTATCTAAAAGCGATAAATTTGCAAAACCAAAAAGAAAAAAAACAAAATAACCACCAAATCTTCCCTCAGCGAGAAACGCCAGCTCCGACCCACAAAAGGCACACTTGCACACAACCCGCCACATGGACATCAATTTTCTGTGTGTGTGTGTGCGAGTGTGTGTTAGTGTGTGTGACAATCGTTTGCCGGAAAACGTTGCTTAATGCCGTTGGCTAGCCACATTCTCGGATACCCTTCCTGAAGCTTAACTTTCAATGGCAACAGCAACCCTCTTATAGATAAAACTTTTTTTTTTGACTGATTGATTGACTGACTGAACGAGTGATTGACTGACTGCTTGATTGACTAATTGAACAACTGATCGATTGATTGGCTGCTTTAAGGATTGTTAGACTGAATAACTGGCTAACTGACTGCCTGTTTAATTGGCTGATTGATTGAGAGATTGGCCAACAGAATGATTGATTACATAGCCAACTGACTAACTGAATGATGCTGATTGACTGTATTACTGGTTAAATATCTAATTGATTGGCGACTAAAGGACTGGCTGACTGCTTGATGAATTGAGAGATGGGCTAACAGAATGATTGACTGACTGCTTGATTGGTCAACTAGCTGACTGATTGATTAACTAACTGACTAATTGATTGAATGGCTGACTAATTTGCGTACTGAATGAATGATTAGCTTACTAACTGATTGATGGACTGGGGTGAGATTCAGAGTTTTTTATTTTCTGACTGACTAAACTGATTGACTAAGGCATTAATTGGCTGACTTATTTGCGCGTTGACTGAATCACATTGACTAACTGATTGACTGATTGGTTGCCTGACTAAATGATTGATTGACTGATTGAGTGATTGGCTGACTATGAGATTGACTGACTAAGTGATTGACTGACTGACTGACTAATTGGATAACTGATTGAGTGATTGGCTAACTAAATGATTGATTGATTGACTATGAGATTGACTGACTAATTGGATAGCTGTCTGACCGATAGCTGAGTGACTGATTGACTTAAACGTTAAATGCATTTTTAACCGAGTGACTTATTGATTGACTGTCTGACTGATTGATTGCCTGGCTAAGTGAATGATTGACTTAAGGACTGATTGATGAACAACGCACCGCCCAAACCGTAAGTGCTATTAAGCTATCTTTTCTACTATTGTATGCTTGAGCAAAAATGATTAACAATGTTTTCGAAAATTTCACCCGAAACTGTGCAAAATTTACGGAAACACATCAAAACACATTAAATAAACACATAAAAAATAAAAGCTTTAAAATAAAATAATACATTTTAAAATAAAATATGTAAAAAATCGAAAAAGTATTTAGGTATTAAGTTAAAAATATGATAAATAATTAATTATTGCCGCATTACAGTTCAACATAACCCAGCATTTGTGTGCATTTGACATGGCTTTGGAAATGGACTCGAGAGGCGCCCAACTCGACTTGGTACCACGAAAACCCAATTGTCCCTCCCAAGGCGCCTTTGAGTGGAGCTGCTGCTGCTGCTGCTTTGCTTATCGTCTCGCACATTTGCGCTTTTCCGAAATTTTTTGCCACACTGCGCCACAAAACTGCTGTAATGGGCGCGACATTGCCCCAGCATTCAGCATATCCAGTCGCAGCGCCAAGTAGTCAACGACATCGTCATCGTAGCTGGAAATTCAAGTAAATGTATTGAACTTAAGCTCATTGCCTTTGCCTGCATTGTCCCCCCACCTCCTATCAGCATCCTTTTGCCACACAGAAGCTGGGCTGGGCTAACCTATCAGGCTCCATGGCGCGCTTCTTTACTTTAATACGCTACGCTGTTCGGTAGAAAAGACTTTATGCAATTCTTTTTATAAAATGTTTCCTACTTTTTTTCTTTTCATGTACGCCTGGCTTGCATCATTCATAGCACGACAACGAGCTGGGATAATGGGCGAGTGAAAGCCGAATAGCAGCGAGTGGAGAATTAACGAGTAAACTAAGTCAACCAACTGGGATTCAGCGAGAGTGACACGCCAGCGAATCCAGCGCGGAAAGCAAAAGTCTATTTTGTAGGGATAACTGGGTAACGAGAGCAGGAAAAGTAACGAGTATATACTTAACGCAACGAATGCCTAACAAGAGTTGAGAGAGAAAAACGAGCGAGTGGTGCTTTGAAGGCAGCGAGTGGAGGCAGAGTTTATATGTATGCAACGTGTACCTATTGCCAGCGACATTAACAAGCTGTACTCGCTGTTGTTTATGACTATGCATGACAGCAACGCGGGCAAGCAACGAACGAGTTATGCAGCGAGAACTGCGGCGAGTGATGAGCAAAAGGCAAGCTACAAAAGCCTGTGATATCAGAGGCTGTAAAGAAAACGACAAGAAACTGGAAAGCAACGAATAGCGAGAGTTTTGAAAGAAATGATTGACTGCAAAATTGAGATGCCAAACAGCTGTGTATTTCAGTTGTACATAGCTTCAAGCACAGCGAGATAAAGGGCAGTAAGAGCAAGGGAGTAACGAGTACGCCAGCGAGTAGAGGCAGGAGTAACGAGTAGCTTGATTAATTTGCTCAATGACAACGAGCTAAAAGTGCAGCGAGTACAGACTGCAAAGCAGCGAGCAAATGAACGGATTAGCGACGAGTACACAAATAGCGAGTAATCTTTTAACAACGAGTAAATGATGTACGGAGTGAAGGGCACGCCCAGTGCCGGCTGAAGCGCGCTGCTTAACTTTTATGGCCACGACTAGCTTGACGGAGCCTTGAGTCAACTCGCCCAATACTTTGGCTCGTTTGGCAATGAATTTTTATGGCGCGTCAGACGACGCCGAGCGATTGCCGAAACGACGAGACAAGGCAACAAAAAAAAAACAAATATATTCATGACAAGATTATGTGCGAGTGCACTTAAAAATCAGAGCATGGGACGAGGAGTAGGAGCAGCAGCAGGAGAAGCTAACAGTTTTATCAGCTGCGGCGTACAAACTGGCAATTTCCGGCCGCGGAATTGCAGCTAATTAGCTAATCAACACAATTATGGTACAGAGACATGGCCAGAACAGAAGCAAGCACTTGGCCAAATGCAGCGGAAGTTAACCAGACACACAGCCCAGCTCTCGGCCTGGCCCGCTGCCCCTTCAAGTCCGCCAACCGAGCGAAACGACACATCCGCCATTTTCGGGCCATGTAACTGCAGCTGCATCCACATGGTCAGCATCTGGAGCGGACCACGTGGCGTATGAGCTATCTGGCATTCACTCGAAGCAGATAGCTTTTATGGCATGCATTTATCAGCAGAACGTAAGGGCCTTCTAGTCCATATACCATATTGCCAGCATCTAATCGATATGTGAAGAAGAAAATATTCAGCTTCAGCTTAAGATGTGCATGGCGTAGAAGAGACAGCTCTAGTTGGACTGGCAGATGCACTACAAGGTCCATAATAACTGCGGTTATTTCTCTTCGATCTGTATAAAAAACGTAGGGCTTTGTCATGGCACCCAAAAGTCCAAGACTCTGCCTGTAAGAAAGAACATTTAAGGCAGCTAAAAAGTGAAATAATGTTCAACTTGTGTGCTGAACCAGAAGCTACATGCCAAGTTTGGTAACGATAGCTCATAAGACCTGGAAGATATGCCTAAAAAACGGTTGTTATCGATTTTTATCGATTTTTAGCTAACAAGGCAAGTTATCGGCGATTCGATATAAAATATCGGAGCTCCAACTCTTACATTCTCCGAGTTCGAGGGGGGTTCGGAGAAGCCTCCTTTGCTCGTAAAAGACCGGGAAGAAATGCTAAAAAAAAAACGAAGATTAATATCGATTTTTATCGATTACATGCCAAAGGGACAAGTTATCGGCGATTTGATATAAAATATCGGAGCTCGAGAACGAGCCGTTCATAAGGATTTGGCTGGGTGGATCCGTCTGATGGGTTCGGAGGAGCCTGGAAGAAATGCTTGAAAAAAATCGATTATCGATTTTAAGCTAAAAAGGAAAGTTATCGGCGATGTGATTTAGAATTTCTTACAGTCTCCGAGAACGACCCACTCATATGATGTTGACTGAAAGAACCCAGCTGATGGGTTCGGAGAAGCTTCCTTCCTTCGTTCTTAAGAACTGGAAGTTATAATTAAAAACCAGACGGTTGCTATCGATTTTTATCGATATCCCCTCTGCAGGGATGTAACTCCATGGCAAACTTCGAGGGAGACAACAATAAATGTGAAAAAAAGACTCTGAAAATAAGGATTTGCAGTTCCGAGAGAAATTTATGCATTTATTCAACGTATTTCAATTAGTTCGATATATGGATGAATCCAAATCCAATTAGTTCTTGTACTCCCAGGCGCGATAATCCAATGGGCAGACCTCGCGCCTGCGCAGCCACCGCGAAATGCAATGGAAATGATAAACGTGCTGGCAAATGCCGCTGGCCTCGGGGCACTGCTCCTCGGTCTGGTTCGACTGGCACTCGATGCATGGATCCTTAATCAGATTGCGGCAAATGGCGCAAGTATCAACCTGTACATCTAAATTCCATTTATGAATATAGTTGAAAATTGTGAATGCGTCACGGACTTACCCCAGGACCAAAGCGCATTTGCGTTCCACTGTTGCGGAAACGATGCCAAAAAAAAAAATTAGGTAATTAATTTTAAATTGAAATTCGTTCGCTTAGCAGGCGAATTGATTTTCTTTTAAGGGGTCTCACATTCATAATCTCGAAACGCTTGCGTTCCTCCTGGTTTGGGTCTTTCTTCTTGTTCTCAATTTCTTTCATTATTTTTGTTGAGCAAAATTAAGAAATTCGAGTAAACGTCTAAATTTTTTTCTTGTGACTTGTGATTCGATACGACAGAAAGGCAATTACTACAGCTAACATCAGAGTTGCTTTGACAAAGAAATCAGTGTTAAAAGCTGTCAGCTTGCAAGTGTTGTAAAATGGCGCAAGCAGCACGCATAACCTCCAAATGCAACTGGGCTAAAATGAATGCTGTACAGTTTCTCGCTTTTATTCATTTATTGAAATTATTCGCTTGATTTACCTTCAAGACCTCGAAGCGCTTCTTAACTTTCTTATCGCCCTCCATTTTAACTTCTATTGCGGTATTTATTTACCGATGTCTTCCAATTTCGTCAAGCACACCGTTATGTTTAGCAAAATGGCGTCGAAAGCAGTTGGGAAACTAAGCGATGAACTAGTTCAACTTCATTGTTCAATTGGCTAGTTCAACGTGTACTGGCTCCACTTGAGAAAAAACTATGCTCTTGTTGAAGAAACAGAAATTTGTAAATTAATGTAACTAAATGTCGAGGAATCTTATTAAATAATTATGGCACTATTTTGTAGGTTTCTGTACTTTTTGCGCCACATGTTCATCGCAATGGTTCACGTGAGCTTTTGTTCATCAGTGAACTGTGGACTTTTGCAATAAGCCAACACTGAGTAGCGCGCGGCTGGTTCATTGAACTTGTGCTGGGATCTCCAGCTGGGCGTACTTGAAATTCACTAGCTCAGTGCACAGGTAAGAAGAGAAGACGAAATGGCAACGTTTATAAGGGTTCTTTATGATTATCATCATCATTGGCAAGTCTACATTATTATCATGCTTAATATCCTGTGTCAACTGTTGTCCATTCCATTTGCATTTTTGCAATTATTTCAATTAAATTGACAAAAGAAACGTCTGGCCGCGGCCCCAAGGCAGGACGGAGGCAACAGCTCAGCCGTCGTCTCCGGGTTGGGGCAGGGGCAGGGGCGCTGCGTTTGGCGAATATAATTTCCTCGTGCCGGATGTGACAATGAATACGCATTAATAAGTACACAAACACACACATGCATGTTTACAATTTTTGCGTTCATCGAGCGGCCGGTCATTTCGTTGCTTTGTGCGTGTATGTGTGTGTGTGCGTGTGCCTTCCGGTGTGTAAATTGATACGCCCGTTCATTTATCCAACCGTTCACTGACCCCCCCCGCCCAATCCGATTCACTCACACCCTCGCAGCCAGTGTGCACCCACTTACCGACAGACGTAACCGCACAGCGAGCGCATGAATGAATGGCTGGCTAATTTTGTAGAGAGGCGCGCGCGCACGGCACGCGCTTTTAACAATATTAATATGCACAATAATATAAATGCAGTGACGGCAGCGGGACAAATGAAGGATAAGCCGCAGCGATAGGGTCTCCGCTGCGTCTCGCACAGCAAGACAAAGGCGCAAAATGAAAGAAGAAACGCAAATAAATTTCATTGTACGCGGGCACCAGGCACAACGCGCAACGCACAACATTCTGCTCGCGCGTGACACTGTCGCCGGCGCTGCCAGCAGGCAGTCGGCCTGCTTGGCGGCATTTCCAATTGGATTTGACAGCGAGAGCAGGTCCCTTTCGAGCGAATCTCTTATTCGCATGTCCTTCTGTCTTATTGTTGTGCTTCAGCGCAACAGTGCTGCCAGAATTAAAAGCTGAAAAAAAGCTAAAGCTATAAAAATGAGTAACAATATATAAATGCCTCAGCCCTTGACCAACGTAAAGGGGCGAATAGCACCAAGGAGTAAAAAAGGTTACTCAACAAATGTCAAAAGTGGTGACAAAAGACCGTAAATGCGAATGCCTTGAGAACAATTATATTAGTTTTTTAGCCGACGCAGCTGATATGTCGACAACTTTAAAATCAATATATATTTTTAATGTAATTTATCTTATAAATAGCATAAAGCCTTTTATAAAAGTCAGCGCCAGCTATAAAATACCCATAGTGGCAACACTGTCGCGTGTTTGTCAAGCACAACCTCGTACATATGCGTAATATGATTATTTACATGCTGCCAGTGTTGCCATGTATATTTTTTTGTAATCTATTTTTTTTTCGCCCCGCCGTGCGCGTGCTGTAAAGATGAAATTATATGATTTGAATAATAATTGAATTAGAAAATCATAGTCAAAGCCATGCGCCACTCAGTTGTTGGCATGCGGCGCAAACAAATAGCCGCCGTCAGCAACGTATGCCCCTCCCAGCTGACAGCAAATTATTGTCACATACGGAAATTTACATGCATGCACATACATTGCTGCCGTCGCTGCATTTATGCAGCTCAAGTCGTCGCTATGCGTCAACATGATATGCATTTTAAGGGAAAACAATTTTTAATTTATAGCCGGCGGCGTAAATTAGGGCTTTTTGTGAATTAACTTGCTGGCAGCACATGTGCACACACTGGCAGCGCTGCCAGCTTATTGGGCGATCGCCCAGCTGATCGCCGCGTGCTTAAAAACGAACGGTTTCCGAATGTGAATTGTGAAATTAGTGTTTTATTTGCAGTGCGCGACAAATTTGTTAGATTTAATGCGTGCTATTCATTTAAACGGCAACAATGCCAACGCGCGCGTTTGTAATATGGCAAAAGTTGCATGCGCTAAAGAGTGTCGTGAAACGTGCGGGTCGAGCGGTCGGGTCGAGCAGTCGGTTCGCTGGGGGCGTGGTGTGGCCGGGGGCGGGGCAACTTGAAGCGGCTGCCAAGTGGCGCGGCGTCCTTATAACTTGGCTCTAATGCGCACGACATTTGTCGCCTTCAAATGGTTAACAAGTTTCTGCAAACAGCGGCAGACAGACATCATTTACTGCACACACACATACGCATGTGTCTGTATGCACGTGTTTGTGTGTGTGTGTGTGTGTGCCTTGTAATCATGTGAATCCGTTTAAACTGTCGAAGTGTATTGTGCGTCATTATTCTCTTTCGTGCCATTAGACTTGAATAGTTTTTTCAATATAGAATAAAGAAAAAGACGAATGCAAATCGCAGCGGCAGCGGCGCTGCTTATCGTTGCATGTGTGTGCGTGTGCGTGCGTGTGCGTGCTTGCACTTGCTCGCCTTTGCCAGGCGGCGTATGCAGCTCAACAGCTGGCAAAATGGCGACCGTATTAAATACCAAAAATACCAAAAGAAGCATAAGTCTCATAAGCGGCACAAATTTTGCTCAGCTCGCAGCGTACCAAGCGCGTTCCAGTTAGACCCCTTGGAATGCAACGTTGTCACTTGACTGCGTTTCCACTTAAGTGCGCGTCTTCTTTTTGTCTCTTTATCCACTTTTGAGCATCAATCTTTTTTTTTTTTTTTTTTGTTTTTTTTTTGGTAGCAGCAATACATTTTGGACTCTAAAGATGCCTTTTCGTTTATAATTGCGGCTAAAATTTGCCCATTTTTGTTCAATTGCAACAAAGTGCTTAAATAAATCATTTAAAAAATTTTATTGAGCGCCACGCAAATTGCATTTTAAATGCACATAAAGCTCTGTGTGCGTGCGCCTCATTACAAAGATCGATGGCAAAGCGAGCAAATGCCTGATGCCAGCACAAGTGCTTGACTGAAAGATACCCTGTAAATGCATTAAGTGAAAGCTGCCTAGCACAGCTGCAGGCTCCTGCAAAGCCACAGGTAAATACTTTGCATACATTTTCTTTACTTTATTTACGATTTTTTTACACATTTTATCATAAGTTTTTATTGAACAAAAATTAGTGTTTGATAACGTCTGCATATTATATTTTTGTATACCTCTTTATTCCGAAATTGAAAGTTTTTACATATAACAAAAACTTAACAAAACTAAAGCCACAAATAGTTTTATGATTTTACAGCTCAAATTTTTCAACTGTAGCTTCAAAACTTCTCGAGTTACGAGATGTTGAATCTCTTTCTAGTCAGTCAGGCCCTTTGCGGCCTATGCTCGGGCAACAGGGTATGGAAAATAGAAGCGAATGGGCAATTTGAATGTAAATTGTTGCGCTTTTGATAATAAGGCATGAGCCGAAACAGCAAAAATGAAACAAACAAAAAATACAAAATAAAACAATTAAAACGCATTTCAAATTTCAAGCGCACAAATTTCTATATACACTGGCTATTTGTATTATATTTATAATTCTCCATAAACGTTTAATACCTTTAATTTATATTTGCCAAAAGCTTAAATTTAATTCAATTTCGCACGTTTTCTCTATTTGTTATTGCCATTCAATAGGAAAGGATTTCTGTCCAGCGAATCTCTCGCTGAACTATCTACTGCTTAGGTTCATAGTTCATAGAGCCATGTTGCTGGTTCAGTTCACGATTTGAACCAATGTTCTTACAAACTCAAAGACGCAAAACATGCATCATTTCTGTCGTTAAGACAAGACTTGACTAGTCAGGACAAAGGCTAGCCTTTATGATATATGTGTGCTCTGTTAGATAAAGATGCTATTGATGTTCCAAAACAGTTCCCATCTGAAAGATTCCACACACACACTAGGAGCTGTGGCATGTCAAGAGGACAATTCTGTTTAGACTCAGTTTGAACCATAATGCTGGTTCAGTTCACGATTTGAACCAATGTTCTTACCTATAAACGATTTCTGCAATTGACTCCCTTGGCATGCTCCAATATATATCTCTTTAGTCTCAGTTTGAACCATGTTGATGGTTCAGTTCACAGTCTGGGTTTTAACCCTTCCCATCCAATTAACCCCTCTTCCCTCACAGCATTGAGAGAATAATTGTTTATGTCTTAACTTGCATATTTATTTTTATTATTGCAATTCTTGTTTAATTTAATTTTGATTCAGTTTTTGGTTGACATTACGACTAGTATTTTTGTAGTTAGGAGTTAGGCCAGCTGTTAAAATTAAATTTCGAGTAGAATCTTCCGCATCGAGAGTTGCTTGGCCTCGCCTTCTTCCGTGACGATATGATTTATGTATTTTTTATTAATTTCTTGTTACGATTTTTTCCTGAAGAGAAGGCGGATAATTGGTTAGGAAAAAGGGGAGAGGCAAGATCCAAGGCTTACCGTTCAGATGAAGCTCAAAGTCGAGCTTAGAGAATTGCTTTTCGAATTACAATTTTGAATTTCTGATTTATTTTTTGGTTGTTGAATTGAATGATCTGAACTGCAATAGGTCGTAGGTCGTATTATAGCGATAATATCAGGATGATATAGCTCGTATAATACCTTGTGACAAACATTGAGAGTCTTGCAAATTGTAAAGGACAACGAGTCCTCATCTCCCCGAGATGAGCAGGTGCTCAGAATGGGGAGTATTACCAGACGGATCGGAGGGATCGCTCGAGAGATCTGTCTGGATGGACTTACCCCTTGACTGAGCAATCTATTCCAAGAGTTTCCGATTCTCTGGGCGAATATACATTGAAAGTTAAGAATTGTGAAATAAACAATCACATCAAATCCTGCAGGAGATCGAATATATATATATATATATATAGAGTGTATCCGAGACGGGCATTTTGGTTCTCACTCACCCTTCTTGGTTACGAAATACGATTATTTGGTTGTTAGAAATAAATAGAAACGCGTAAAACTTTTGATCTGGACTTCTGTTTGAGCATTTAAAATTTTGCGCCGTGTACAAAGAGCATCTGTGACAACTGGAGAATGGGGGGAAGAAAAGGGTTTGGATGAATACTCAATGGGTTGATGTGAATTCCTTTTTGGGTACTCACCATCATTGTGTTCACACCCATTCACACGAACATACAAACCGCTTCTGAACGTAATTTTGCAACACTTTTTGAAATTTTCACATTGATTGAATAGAAACATTGAAACTTTGAAACAAATTGAATTTTTGGACTTTTTGATTTTATTTGTTTCTCTCAACAGAAATAAACAAAGAGAAAAAGCAGAACAAATTTTGAAATTTATACAACAATTTAGAAAACTAGAGCTGTTGGCTCCAGTGGAGCTCCAACTGGAATGAATCTGTTTGCCTTTCGCCTGGGCTCATTCATTTTTATGTCGATTTCAAGGCCTGCTCTGACTTTACAGCATCAAATTCTATTCACATGGCCAACTTATGGATTTCTAGTATATATCTGCGACGTCTTAAGTATCTCAGAGAAACCAAAAGCAACGACTGCCCAAAAGTAACGAGTACCCAAAAGTAACGAGTAGCTTAATTAATTTCGGGTGAATGTGATTAGTCAGAGTGACGAGAAGACAAAACTGAAGCGTAACCTGATAGAGAGTAGAGCAGTCGTGGTAACTAGTGCCCAAAAGTAACGAGTAACCGTGAATTGAGTACTGAAAAGTAACGAGCCCCTAAAAACTGACGAATACCCAAGAGTAAAAATTACTGAAAATTAACCTATACTAACGAGTACCCGAAAGTAAAGAGTACGGAAAAGTAACGAGCACCGAAAAGTAACGAGTACCCGAAAACTAACGAGTACCAAGAAGTTGCGAGTATCTATGGAAATTAGAGCAGTCGGAATCGACACTTCTGCAAAATATGTACTCCTCTCCATCAGATAGAAAGAATTTGGATGACGAATTTTATACCCAGTTTTTTCTGTAAAAGGCCGGAAGAAAAACATCTGTGAACCCAGAAAGTATATATATTCTTAATCAGCATCAATAGCCGAGTCTATCTATAGACATGTTCGTTTGTCCCTCCGTTTGAACGCAAGGCTATCAGAGCCAAGAGCTAGGGAATGTAGGTCCTCCTATTGCCCACGCAGTATTAGTTTCCGATAGTCGATAGCTTGTGCCGCTTTCAGCAAATTTGACAGCTTCTACTGAATTCCAAACGTACATAGCTTCGCCAAACTCTGAAACAATTATGTTGAGCGGGCCATATTTGGCAGGGCAAAATCTAATCGATTCAGCTAAAAGAAATCTCTCAATCTTTCCCCTAAGCACTTCCAAGTGAATATCAAATTAATGTTAATTTTATTAAAACTAACGAGTAGAGTGGAGAAGTAACGAGAGATACCTCCTTTCCTTTCCCTCTATTTCTTCAAGCTCAACTTAAACCCAGATAAATTAAGCGAAATAAGAATGAGTTTGTTGCATCTGTGGTTTTATTTGGATAGACGATTATTAGAACAAACAAATATGCAGCTTCTGATAATACAGTGACGCGCAACCCTCATGATCCTGTTCAACTGGATTCCGTGCAAGAACTGTATTTGAACTATGAGAAAAAGGTTTAACATATTAAGAGAAATACGGCCAAGAGATTCCCATCATACCGGTTAGAGCTGCTTACCCCCTTTATGGCGATGCCACGAGGCGATTGCGTCCAAAATATTATTGTATATTGTTAGGCGGGCAGATATTTTGGTAAAACCAACCGCGACAATGTTAATTAACGAAGCTTACTTCCTGATGTGCGACAACGACGATATGGGCGAACACAAAAACACACAAAAAAAAAAAAAAAAAACGTAAGTTTAAACAAACCACGATTTTTGGTTGTTATTTAGATGCGTTTTCCTAATACATATGTCTATGTACAGAGCGAGCATAAAAGATGCATATAAATAAGCTAGAAGATGAAATGTTACGATTAAATTGTTGAATTTTTATTTAAATATTTACCATCGACGAAGAAATCGAAACGTCTGAGAATTGAGTATGTGTGTGGGTGTGTGTGCTGTGTAAACACTGGAGTTTGTAGTGTTGGTTAACTAGAAAAAGTGAGCATTCATGAAACTGGCCTCATATTAAGCATTTCCAACACTTACGTGTAATCTGTATTTCTGTTCTAATTTGGTTTTTTTTTTCTTTCTACAGATGGGAGGGTGAATTTGTGCCACAAACAGTTTATTCATATTTGCCTTTGATCGACTAATCCAGCAAACTGTGTGTAAAGTTTGTTAAGCAAAAAGGTTATTTTTTTTCTATATTTTTTTTCTTCTCGTACTTACCCCTATGAAAAGTCTCGTGGTCTGTGGTACCGTCGCATCAAAGATGTATAATGTCAGCAAAAACGCAAATACACCAAGCAGATCGCCATTTATCAGGGTTTTGATTATTGTGTGCTCCTGTGTGTATCATTGTTGAGGGGTTTAACTGGAAAAAAAATAGAGAGAAAATAGCCGACCATATTTGGGGTTTTATTGGAAGTACGAGTCTGCTTTGCAACGGTGCTTTATTGCTAGCGCTTTCTGTGGGTTCATGTTGTATCTGGATAGAAGTCCAGAGTTATGTCGAGAAGGGACTCAAAGCATGGCCTCAGCTATACCAAGGTCAAGGTATAAGTTGTACCTCGACTTGCCCTATTCACAGTTCTAGTAGATAAAAGGTGCTTCGGGTAAAATTCCATGACTTGCCACAAATGCTTTTCCCATTAAGTCGGCTATTTCCTAAATTACTGTAACAGGTCCCCAGGGAAGCTGTAAGGCCGCCACAGGATTGACAAACAGACTGACAAGTTGCGCTTTGTAAATGACCTATAGCCCAAGGCCGGGAGTGGCAGACTAGGGGATACCCTGAACCCTTGTAAGCTTTCTCTAATGTCTTTTACCAAATCAAAGGCTAGAAATTGCTGACTAGGGGATACCCTGTACTCTCTTGCAGAATAGCATAAATGTCTTTCTAGAAGCTATATGTTAAAATTTGACTTGAATATCGATTTTTATCGATTCCTTGGAAATGGAGCAAGTTATCGATTATCGGAAACAAAATAAAATCAAGTATTGTATCCTTGCGTTCATATATACGCACAGAAATGGGCAGACAGGCAGATGTGGCTAGATGGACACGAATATTGCTTCCTTTTGCCCGTTACATACATTCGCACAAGTACAATATACCCCCCTTTTACTCGTTTTCAATGGGAATTGAAGCCAAGGCTTGAACCAATACCTGCGCTTACTAACCGAACCAATGTACCCCATTTGCGCCCTTAAATCGTTTACTTACACGTTTTGTTTTTTTTTGAGTGTATTTTCATCTAACATTTCTAAGTAGCACACTTCCTGACATTGACATTGGAACGAAATTTGGTACGAACTAAACAAAAAATTTACATTTATTTTTCTGTCACAATTTGAAATTTCTTTTTAAAACAATTCTCAACCGCTTGAAAAAAGTCACAAGATTAATTTTAAGCACGAAACGTATTTTTCTCACATTTTTTCTTATTTTTTTTTTTTGTAAAACAAATAATTTCCGATAGTTGGAGCTCCTGACTGTAAGAGAGCTCGAACTGTAATGAAAACTGAGAAGATGTGAGCCAGGTGCCTAGACCTGTTACCAAAGCCTACTCCGATATATTATGTCGCAATGTGCCTGCTGCGTTCTCTGAAATTCAATTGGATTTCGATTAGTTGGGGCCAGGCTCATGAATGTCGCATGTCTACAAAATCTGGACAAATTCTGAACATATTCATGTTGTTTTTCAGATATTCGTGCTGGTATTTTATTATTACTTTAGCAACACTATGTTTAGTGTTAGTGTTGGAAAATGTCAAAGGCATGGCTGCCGATTATGAGTTGACAAATAATGTAAAGGCATTTAGTGTTGGAAAAGTTCCTCGACTTTTAAAAACAAACAAATCTTTGTTGAAATCGATTTTGAGAAAATCTGTAATATTACATTAAACGCATAGTTTTCTCTTTTCTAAAACTTTTCTCTAAAAGCCAGTGTTGGACAACTCAGCTATTTTTTTTCGGCTAAATTTGGCTATTTTAAGCGGCTGTCAGCTGGAATAAGTTGACATTTGCTTTGGCAGCATTTGTAAACTTTTTAGCGATATTTTCTAGCGAACAATTTCTGTAATATATGAAGCTCTTCGCTAATGGGTAACGGGGTATATTAGTTTTCTGCGCTTGTATGCAACAGGCAGAGGAAAACTATAAAGTATATATATATATCTGATCAGTATCAACAGCCGAGCTAATGTTCGTCTATCTGTTTCTATCTCCCATTCTTGGAATTCTTCCGATCGGACACTATTGTCCGATGACATTGCTCATGAATCAGAAAACATTTCTGTTCATCAAGATATCCTAACTGAAGGTATCAAAAGTCACTCAAAAAGTGAGCTGAGCATGAAATCCTCAGGAAGGGGCCTACAATATGCTCCGCAGATCTAATCAAAATCGTCTGAGCATCAAACTTCTATATCGTAAAGCATTATAAAAGGAAGCGTGGAAAACTTGTCTGTTTCCCTATATACTAGATATATTTTTGATCAAGCTCAGCAATTTGGAGCTGCACAATCGTATTTCATGTTCGAGTTCTTATTTGTTTGGAACAGGATTCAGACTCGATAAAATATCAAAACCTAGCTGGATAATATTTGAGCCGGGGCTGTCAAATGAAACGCGATGCTTGATTTCTGTGTGTACCCTGTTGTATAATGGGATGTTATATATTTCGTTCAACTCTAATTTAATTTATTTATTTATTTTTTTTTGTTTTTTTTTTTTTTTAATGTCAATAAACAACTATTGCGAACAAACTGTTCGAGCAGCCTCAGAGACAGAATAATATATATATATACACACACAGTTTGCGGCTCAATGGTTTAAGCTCGATTTGCCTTTGCTGTTGGGGATACAGATTGGGTCTCTTTGATGGCCTCTTGCAGTTTATTTTGCAGCTCACGATCGATGCGTTCCTTGGCCCGAAAGACTTTCGATTGTATGTAGAAGGAGCCACCGGTTGTCTTCTCGTTGACCCGAAACAGATGCTCAAAATTGCCACGGATCTCTTCGATGTTGGACAGATCCTTAACATTGAGTATCTGTTGGGCCTCGTGCAGGGTCATGCCCTTGACAGACAGATCTAAACATTTCGATTGGCTATTTACGTTCGTACGATGCTGGTTCGCCGCCGCCCGCGATGCCTCGATCTCCTGTCGAACAGCCTTGACAAAGGCACGTCCCACAGACTGAGCACCATAGACAATGATCCGTGCAAAATGTTTGGCCATGTTCTCCCGCTCAGTAACTCCCCCTTCTGTCTGGGAGTGTGCCTCGAATCGATCCAAAGAATTTTACGTATGTTTTTTAACATTAATGTACCAATGTACAGAATTTTCTATGTAAAAATATCAAAACGTGTGTGCTCCCGATCTAATTTCATTTGGGAAATGACAGAAATTGAAAAGAGTTTATAAGTGAACTCCAATCTTCATGCTGCTAAATATCTATTCGTTCTGACGGACTGACCGGCTGTAGAAGCTAAAAAACTACGCAATATTTGGCCTTTGGCGCCCAACGTGGGCCTTGTAAAGCTTTTCTTTAAGTTTTTGAAACAACTATAACTATTTATTTATATTTATATTAGTCAAACAAAATAGAATAATGGGGCACAATGTTCCAAACGTTAAATATCTACATTGGCGCCCAACGTAGGGCGTGCACTTAAGAATAGCCTTGGTAAATGCTCACAGCTTTTCCCTTTTCGAATAGTACTTTCTATTTACTACAAATGTATTTTGATACCATATTAAATGATCCCAGGGACTCCGAAATTGTAAACCTAGAGGTGAAATATAGACAAACGTGAGTTAATGTACAGTCTAAGCTCTCAGATGAACTTCGATTGTTCTGATCTGGAATATATATATATGCACTTCCTGATTTGGAAGCAGTTGCCTTCCGACTGCTACATAAACTAACAGAACTTTATAATACCCCGTTTCTTTGTGGGGCATAAGGACAGCTCGGTTTTGGGGACATCTTTGGGGTTGTGCGTGTGTGTGTAAAGCTCGTAAAGAAATTATGCGCAAATTGACTTAGTTCCGGAGAAAGCGATGCGCAAGCATACAATGCTGTAGTCGCCCTCTAGGCACGTAGCTAGACAAAGAGGGAGAGGCACAGAGACAGCGGCAATCAGATAAAGAGGGAGAGATGCGATATGATGCCATGTGATGTGATGTGTGCCGGGTATTAACATAATTACAATAATGACTTGTTGCCGGTCAATGTCAGAACGGGGCCGACAAAATGGAAATTGTAACTCCGGACACCGGACGCCGGACTCCGGAATTTGTGGCCATAATTTCGAGAGTCAAGTTGTCAGCAGTTGTGGCCCCGCATTTGCATAAGCTCAATATGCACTTGGGTCTTTTTAAAGCACAACCAACCGAATCGAATCTAACCTCATATAATGTAACCTAACACAGTCTCAGTCCTTCTACACGCCTTTTGCCGCACGTCCACATTGGCAATTTACGCAGTTTGCCCAGCCTAGCCGCAAATGCACAACAATTGCAATTGCAGTGCTGCACAGTGGTTCGCATGTGATTGAAATCACCAACAAAAATATTACAAGTATATATATCGATAACAGAAATCGATAACAGTTATCGATAAAAGCAATTCAAGCAGTTAGTTCGAGGTAATAGTTAAGTATGTACGAACTTCAAGTTGTTCCTAAATAATTAAAAAAACATATTTATCTCTTTAATCGATTATATATCGATAAAAGAAGTCGATAACATTAATTACAAGCTTTTAATTCAATCAATAATCAAGTTTTTTTAAAATACATACAAAAGCTTAACTGTTCTTTAACGGCGTCCGTATCGATAACAGCAATCGATAACTTTATGCTGGGCTCGATAAATCTATTTTCAAATTCAACCCTATTCTTTGTTTTAACATATTTCTGACCAGTGTGCGCCGCCTTTCCCATTTGCCGCTGAAATCCACAAACTGTTATTGATCACATTTGCGTTTGTCGTTTGATTTCATTGTCTTGTGCGTGAAACGGCACGAGACGTGCCTCTTTTGGGGCTTGGGGATTTGAGGTTAGGCGTTTATAGCCGGGTGGAAGGGGGTGGGGAGCGGGGGCAGTGTGGGGCGCTTCCAATTCCGAAAAAAGCCACAGCTGAGGTTGTTATTGTTGCTGGCGCGCAAGCTCATTCATTATGCAAACACCTCCACCTGACCGTGGCCCCTGGTGCGCCTCTAGCTCATCAACTCGCACACGCTCTCTCCCTCTCCCCTCTCCCCTCTCTTGCCCTTTCGCTCTCTCTAACTGCATTTTGCGATTAGTTGCCATTTAAACTGGTGTTACCCCTCGTCCCTACTCTCGCACTCGTCTTTGGTCGGACTCTTGCTCTGTCCTGATCTCTGTCGCTGTTGGCCGCCAAAGCATTTTGATTTCCGCACTGCATCCGGCTATTTTAATCCCTGGACATCAGCTGCCTCCCCAAAAAACTGAGCAACTAAGTGTTTCGACGTGCGAGTGTTCGAATCGTAGATACCCTGTAGCCAGCAACGAGTTGCTATGCACGCATACAACTGGCGATTTGCAATTAAATGTTGGACTCATTGTGCTAATGTTTTGAAATTTACAGGGTATACATAAGGCTTTCAGATATTTACATATACCCAGCCGTAATCCCCTCTGCGATTGACTGAAAAGACAATCAACTCGACTTGGCTAACAGGTTCGGCGGCGCTTTCTTCACTCTGTTACATGTATTCTTTGTACTTGTTATGCCCACTTGCAATGGCTACAGGGTATACAAACACAACGTTAAAGTGCAAATGCAACAAGAATTTAGTATCAATCACCACAGACCGACAGCTCGCATATCCTACCAACAATTATTCTACACTAAATAAGTCATTTAAGTAATTGCAATATGAAAATAAATGAAGACTTCTCGAAATTTTCTCAAGTGTGGCAACGCTCAGAGTTTTTAATTTAGCAAAAAAATAGAAAAAGGGTTGCCCACTCTTTGAAAACTTACATTTGACATAAATACATGACAATATTTTTACAATCACTTTGACAACATGGTAAAGTGCCTGTCAACTTTTGACAACAACTTAAAGGGTAGATGACCTGCCTCTTTGATTTTCAAACTTTGCTAAAAGTTACGGACATAGAAAATATATTTTGACAACATGTTAAACTGCCTGATAACTTTGACAGGAACATGACAACCTTAAATTATATAATATTATATTATTATATTATGACTATCAAGTTTGTCTGTTAAGTTTGACACAAGCGCATGCCATAGGAACTAGCTGCTAAATGTTGACAGCTGGTCAAACGCTAAGAGATTGTATTTACATTTTGACCACATGTTAAAGTGGCTGCTAATTTCGATTGGCAAATCAAATGACAGGCGTGCTAATTAATGCTAATTTTTGTGAGAGTTTCTTACAATGGAGTTAGTTCATATAACCCTTTGGTTAGGGTATACAAATTGACAAATGGAATGAAGGGGCGACGGAGGCAAGTGGAGACAGAGATAGATAGAGAGAGAGCGGGGCGTGGAGTTGGCAACGAATGCGAACGCAGTTCACTATTTACCACACATGAACGTGGGATCTGAACGAGAACGTGAATGTGAATGTGAACGTGGGTGATGCATGGCGCTGAAAATGTTTAGGCCTAGTGTCTGGTGTCGCATTCATTGCCATTCATTCGGTTGCTGCCGTTTCGTGGTTGCCTATTGCCATTGCCTGCTGGCTGTGATACCCTAGACCCATTCCAATTTTGCGCATTGGGTATGATGCTTTTGTGCAAATGCATAAGCCGAGTGAAAGTAAGTCATGCTCTGGTCGAAGTTGAAAACTTTAAGAGCTAGTTGCCCATATCATACGCAGTACGATTATTCCTTTCATTTTCATAATATCGATATTTATCGATTTTGAGATTTGGTTTCTTAAGCATAACTCGAAGATTTTAAGAGCTAGAAACTTGACTTTTGGAATATATAATTGCCAGTACCATAAGTAGCTCGATTTTACCTTTCATTTCTACGATATCGATAAATATCGGTTTCTTGGTTTCTTAAGCACAGGTTTCCTAAGCACAGCTCAGAAAATTTGAGAGCTTTAGACTTGAATTTTGAAGTATTGTGTTGCCTATACCATACGCAGCACAAAAGCGCCGCTTATTTTAGATAATCGATAAATATCGATAAATATCGATTTCTAGAAATATCTTCTTAAGAATATCCTGACAACTTTAAGAGCTTGAGACTTGAGCTTATATATTTTTGCCTATACCATACGCAGCACAGCACAGCATTTTCATAATATCGCTAATTATCGATATCGATAAGCAGAACTCGAAAGTTTTAAGAGCTAGATGCACCAAACTTGATATGTACTGTGAGGCGATGGGAACTTGAATCAGAAGTTTATGTGCATTGAAGTAAGCTTGTCGCTAGACGCGGGGTATATTTTCTTCGAGCACACCCGACTAAAGCACTCTTATTGTGGTTGTTGCTTGTGGCTACATGCAAGCTTAGGATTTGGAAAACAATTTCACTGTTAGTGGAATGTCAACGTCAGGCCCGTGCCCGTGCCCGTGCCCATGTCCCCGCCCGTGCACGGCTGCAACTCTGGAGCGCTTGCATTTGGTGTCCCTCCACTCACACGGACTTCGTTCGCCTGCCAGTCCCGCAATCTATTCGTGCCGAAACGTAAAATTGAGGAGCGCGCGCGCGGCGCTCACATCACTAATTAGTGATGTGCAATAATCGTGCGGGAACTGCATGATGCCCAGGCGGCTGGATTTGGGGCGGCATTTGGTGTTCATTGTTCCCCTTTGGCTGTTTCAGAGATTTGCGCTGGACATCAGCCAAGCCCATCGATGCGTCGGTTCGGTGCAGAAATTGCAACATTGTTAATCAACTGTGCGTGTCGCATAAGTTCCCTTTTTGGGTTTGCCGTTACGGGATTGGGTCCTGGGGACTGGCTACCGGTTACGATTCGATTGCGCTTGGTTATTTCAAATTTACTGGGCCCGTTTGCCCGCTCATTTGACGATTATCTGGAAAATTGTTATGCTTTACGCAAGAAAAGTAGAAAACTTGAGAGTGGAAGATGAAGGGAAAGAGAGAAGATTGTGTTTGATGAGCTTTGATCATAAAATTAATCAATTAAACTGGGAAGAATTCAGATATCTGAGCTTGGCTAATTTGTCGCTTGATCTTATTTCAGCTAGTTATAGGAAATAATAATAATTGATTAACAGATGAAAATTAATAATAATTAAAATATTCCCAATAATCTCTGATACTGTATTCCAAGCATTTTCCCAACGATATCTCAATTATTTATTTATGAAATGTTGCATTCCCCAACACTATTTTTGTCTTTATCGAAGTATTTACAGCTTTTTTATGCATTGATTTGGCTATTTTGATTCACTTGTCTTATTTCCTTTGAATTTTGAGCCATTTTCGAACACTGTTTCCAGACATTTAGTTCATTCTGTCTTGCTCTCACAAACTAATTTACTGTTTATTTAAGGCTCTTACCTACACTGGCTTGTTTAACTTTGTTCCCTTAAGCTTTTGTACTTTTAATTGTAGCACTTTCCAAGACTATTTTGCTTTATCAATCGGTGCGTCAATGCGTCACTGTTTGTTAAACGTTTCCCAATACTGTATTTGACGGCACAGAAATGCATTTTTCAATCGAATTAATACCCTTTATACATTTCGGTTAATCTGATGCGATTTTGCCAGTGTTGTTGTTGACTTCACATGCAATTTGCAGCGGAGTGTAAATAAAAAAAAAGAGCTGAACTTGCAACTCATACTCATTGGATGTGTGTGTGCAGCTGGCAATATGGTTGCATTTAATTGACCAGAAAAACAGCATAGAGTAAAATTGACTAATTGAAATTTCATGTTCTGCAATAAGTGGCCAAATGGTGACAAGAGACAACAGGGGCGACCGGGCTCTCAAAGTGGGCCGCGTCTCGCCAAAACCCGTCGATTGCGGCCAGAACGGAGCCGTAGCGGGTAGCGGGGGGGCAGCGGGGGTTCAGCGGTTGGGCGTTCACTCCACTTGCTTTGGCCATTGATCTTTGGGCTTAAAAGTATGGACAGGCAACATGCGAAATAAATATGTATATAACAAATACCTTGCAAAACAAATAAAATATCAGCTGAAAGTCTTTTAATGTTGCGTTGTAACAAATCGAGCTCAAGTCAATTAAAGTTAATAAACGAATTGAAGGAAATGTCATGTGTTGGGTGAATTTTATATGAAATCAAGACAAAACGAAGACAAAAATCGGCTTCTAAACACAGGAAAGCCATGAACAGGCTTGAGTTGCCAGAAAGTGGCTAAATCGGTTCAAACTTTCAACACTTTACGGCTGAAGATCTTTGAAAATAGCCAAAAATAAGTAAGTCGTTAACTTTAAAACAAATTAAGTTATTGAATTAAAAAAAAAAGTTCCATTGGCAGGGTTCGAACTCGCAACCGACCGCATTACAGCCAAAAAAAAAAATACTTTCCTTGGTAGGGCTCGAACTGGCGACAGACCGCACCACTTGTCACTGCCTCTACTACTCCACATTAATAATTGAGTCATATTGAGAAAAAAACGAATTTAAATATCAGCACAGAAAACAATACAATCGCAATTACAATGTTGTTGACAGAATTCGAAGCAGACGCGCATGAATGTGTACAATCATACAGAAATTCTTTGAATGTGCTTCGCAAAAACGTGCGCAGTCAAAATACCGAAAAAAAGAAATAAAAAACAAAAACCGATCTTAATGAAATTTTCTGCAGTATATTGTACCGTGTACCATATTTATTTGTGTATTCTCAAAAAGTCAATTGCATTTAAATTGCTTGGCAAAACAAGTTGGGTTATTAACTTGATTTATAGCTCGGCGGTGTTAATTAGGTATGCTAGATGGTTATTGCTTCCTTCTGCTTGTTACATACATTTGCGTTAAACGATTCTATTCATACATTATCCATAGAGTCTGGTTATAAAAAACTTAAATACGAGAAGCTTCTCAAGCATCGAGCCCTGAAATTAGTTGTTAACGAATGCAATTTCCTATACAGCACAGCAATCAATCGCAAATCGTCAATCAGGCATAGTTTTTTATATAGTTTTATATATATATGTGAAGAGAGCAAGTCAGCCTTGTGGGCTTTGTCAGGGCGTTTGCTAGCCTCAGCTGGAGCCTCAGTTTGTTTCAGCCCGAGCGAGCAGGTTGAACAAGTCAAGACGAAAAATTGAAATTCAATTTGGTAATTGGACGCGTTTTGAGCAGAAGCCAAAGCGAAATGCAGAGTCGTCGTGAGCTCATGTTGGAGGGTATCTATGACTCAGCCGGCGACGATGACAACGAAGCGGTGCAGCGTCTCGAGGGGGGCGTGGCAATGCTAGATGAGCAACAGGCGAGCGAGGAGAGCGGCGATGAGGCCGGACAGCAGCAGCCGCAGGCGGGGCAGTTGGAAACGTTGGAATCAGAAACCGATTGGGATAATGATCTGGACAAGCCGAATGATTTTTTGCGCTTCTTTTTACGCATGGGCTTCGGGGCCGTTATGCATCCGTATGAGTACGCCAAGGTCCTGATGCAGCTGGGCTACGAGCCGCTGCCGGCTGTGACCTCCACCAGTTGGCTGGGCCGCTCGACGCTGTTCCTGCCGAGCGTGCATCAGTATATACGCTATATCCGGCATACGGATGGCTTTGCCGGACTCTATCGTGGGTTGGGGCCGCGCATTCTGAGCAGCGCCAGCTCGGCTCTGTTCTCGGAGAGCTTGGTCCATCTGGTTGGCTGGAAACAGCTGGAGAAGCCGGCGCATCCGTTTCGTGAGTACGTCTCGAATATGCTGCGTGATGGGATTATTATTGCCACCGGTTTGGCCATATCGCATCCGTTCTATGTGATCTCGGTGCGCCAAATGGCCCAGTTTGTGGGCCGCGAGGTCGTCTATTCGACAATCCGGGGTAGTGTGCGCGAGATTTTGGCCCAGGACGGGCCGCTCGGCTTCTATGCGGGCTTTGTGCCGCGCCTACTCAGCGATCTGGGCGTGCTCTTCTGCACCAGCACGCTCAGCGCCATCTGCAATCGCGTCTTTATGCTCAAGTCCGATCAGCGGGAGTACAACTCGGCTCTGCTTCAGTTTGGCGCCATTATGCTGCTCTATCCACTTCAGGTTGTTGGCGCCTGCATGGCCTGCTCCGGCTCGGGCGTGGCTGCCGGCGCACCGCCGTTTATGCCCATATATTGCCAGTGGATCGATTGTCTTACGGATTTGATGGCACGCGGGGATCATTATCGCGGCGCCTTCATCTTTCGCCGCACTTTGCCCAAAATGCAAGCCCAGCGTGTCTACGATCCATATAGTGTTTCGCGCATGATTTAAATAACCCGAGTTTATTGAAATTTCTTTGTTCATTTGTTAAACCATTAAAAATTTGTGTTGCATTTAATCTATATAAATATTTTCGTATATATATGTATTCGTATATATATATATAGAATTCTATATTTTTCTATATATCCGTAAATTTATAAATCGTTTAGCTTCTACCTCCAATGTTCGCTATTTCATTTGGAACCTTTTTTCTTGAATTTTTTAACTTTTCTTCTGAGCTGCCTATATATATTTACATATATATATATATATATATATATATATATATATATATAGATATGTATATGGATATACAGATGCATGGACGTATAGATTTCTAGACGTATAGTCAATATATATATATATATATATATATATATATATATATATATATCCATATACATATCTATGCACAAGAAAATGTTACCAGATTTGTACATGAATTTCGACTAAAAAATGGCTGTTCAGATTTGAATGCCAGATTAATCTAGAGGGAAAACCATAAAGAAATAGCCAAACTTCGTGAAAATCGGATGAGATTTGACCGAGTTATGGGGGTGGTCATTTTTGACCCATGTCTACATACGAATCTTGGGGTAGGATTTGGACATGAATTTCGACTAAAAAATCGCTGTTCAGATTTGAATGCCAGATTAATCTAGAGGGAAAACCATAAAGAAAAAGCCAAACTTCGTGAAAATCGGATGAGATTTGACCGAGTTATGGGGGTGGTCATTTTTGACCCATGTCTACATACGAATCTTGGGGTAGGATTTGGACATGAATTTCGACTAAAAAATCGCTGTTCAGATTTGAATGCCAGATTAATCTAGAGGGAAAACCATAAAGAAAAAGCCAAACTTCGTGAAAATCGGATGAGATTTGGCCGAGATATGGGGGTGGTCATTTTTGACCCATGTCCAGATACGAATCTTGGGGTAGGATTTGGACATGAATTTCGACTAAAAAATCGCTGTTCAGATTTGAATGCCAGATTAATCTAGAGGGAAAACCATAAAGATAAAGCCAAACTTCGTGAAAATCGGATGAGATTTGACCGAGTTATGGGGGTGGTCATTTTTGACCCATGTCTACATACGAATCTTGGGGTAGGATTTGGACATGAATTTCGACTAAAAAATCGCTGTTCAGATTTGAATGCCAGATTAATCTAGAGGGAAAACCATAAAGAAAAAGCCAAACTTCGTGAAAATCGGATGAGATTTGGCCGAGATATGGGGGTGGTCATTTTTGACCCATGTCCAGATACGAATCTTGGGGTAGGATTTGGACATGAATTTCGACTAAAAAATCGCTGTTCAGATTTGAATGCCAGATTAATCTAGAGGGAAAACCATAAAGAAAAAGCCAAACTTCGTGAAAATCGGATGAGATTTGGCCGAGATATGGGGGTGGTCATTTTTGACCCATGTCCAGATACGAATCTTGGGGTAAGATTTGGACATGAATTTCGACTAAAAAATCGCTGTTCAGATTTGAATGCCAGATTAATCTAGAGGGAAAACCATAAAGAAAAAGCCAAACTTCGTGAAAATCGGATGAGATTTGACCGAGTTATGGGGGTGGTCATTTTTGACCCATGTCTATATACGAATCTTGGGGTAGGATTTGGACATGAATTTCGACTAAAAATCGCTGTTCAGATTTGAATGCCAGATTAATCTAGAGGGAAAACCATAAAGAAAAAGCCAAACTTCGTGAAAATCGGATGAGATTTGACCGAGTTATGGGGTAAGATTTGGACATGAATTTCGACTAAAAAATCGCTGTTCAGATTTGAATGCCTGATTAATCTAGAGGTAAAACCATAAAGAAAAAGCCAAACTTCGTGAAAATCGGATGAGATTTGACCGAGTTATGGGGGTGGTCATTTTTGACCCATGTCTATATACGAATCTTGGGGTAGGATTTGGACATGAATTTCGACTAAAAAATCGCTGTTCAGATTTGAATGCCAGATTAATCTAGAGGGAAAACCATAAAGAAAAAGCCAAACTTCGTGAAAATCGGATGAGATTTGACCGAGTTATGGGGGTGGTCATTTTTGACCCATGTCTACATACGAATCTTGGGGTAGGATTTGGACATGAATTTCGACTAAAAAATCGCTGTTCAGATTTGAATGCCAGATTAATCTAGAGGGAAAACCATAAAGAAAAAGCCAAACTTCGTGAAAATCGGATGAGATTTGGCCGAGATATGGGGGTGGTCATTTTTGACCCATGTCCAGATACGAATCTTGGGGTAGGATTTGGACATGAATTTCGACTAAAAAATCGCTGTTCAGATTTGAATGCCAGATTAATCTAGAGGGAAAACCATAAAGAAAAAGCCAAACTTCGTGAAAATCGGATGAGATTTGGCCGAGATATGGGGGTGGTCATTTTTGACCCATGTCCAGATACGAATCTTGGGGTAAGATTTGGACATGAATTTCGACTAAAAAATCGCTGTTCAGATTTGAATGCCAGGTTAATCTAGAGGGAAAACCATAAAGAAAAAGCCAAACTTCGTGAAAATCGGATGAGATTTGGCCGAGATATGGGGGTGGTCATATTTGACCCATGTCCAGATACGAATCTTGGGGTAAGATTTGGACATGAATTTCGACTAAAAAATCGCTGTTCAGATTTGAATGCCTGATTAATCTAGAGGGAAAACCATAAAGAAAAAGCCAAACTTCGTGAAAATCGGATGAGATTTGACCGAGTTATGGGGGTGGTCATTTTTGACCCATGTCTATATACGAATCTTGGGGTAGGATTTGGACATGAATTTCGACTAAAAAATCGCTGTTCAGATTTGAATGCCAGATTAATCTAGAGGGAAAACCATAAAGAAAAAGCCAAACTTCGTGAAAATCGGATGAGATTTGGCCGAGATATGGGGGTGGTCATTTTTGACCCATGTCCAGATACGAATCTTGGGGTAAGATTTGGACATGAGTTTCGACTAAAAAATCGCTGTTCAGATTTGAATGCCAGATTAATCTAGAGGGAAAACCATAAAGAAAAAGCCAAACTTCGTGAAAATCGGATGAGATTTGGCCGAGATATGGGGGTGGTCATTTTTGACCCATGTCCAGATACGAATCTTGGGGTAAGATTTAGACATGAATTTCGACTAAAAAATCGCTGTTCAGATTTGAATGCCAGATTAATCTAGAGGGAAAACCATAAAGAAAAAGCCAAACTTCGTGAAAATCGGATGAGATGTGGCCGAGATATGGGGGTGGTCATATTTGACCCATGTCCAGATACGAATCTTGGGGTAAGATTTGGACATGAATTTCGACTAAAAAATCGCTGTTCAGATTTGAATGCCAGATTAATATAGAGGGAAACCCATAAAGAAAAAGCCAAACTTCGTGAAAATCGGATGAGATTTGGCCGAGATATGGGGGTGGTCATTTTTGACCCATGTCCAGATACGAATCTTGGGGTAAGATTTGGACATGAATTTCGACTAAAAAATCGCTGTTCAGATTTGAATGCCAGATTAATCTAGAGGGGAAACCATAAAGAAAAAGCCAAACTTCGTGAAAATCGGATGAGATTTGGCCGAGATATGGGGGTGGTCATTTTTGACCCATGTCTAGATACGAATCTTGGGGTAGGATTTGGACATGAATTTCGACTAAAAAATCGCTGTTCAGATTTGAATGCCAGATTAATCTAGAGGGAAAACCATAAAGAAAAAGCCAAACTTCGTGAAAATCGGATGAGATTTGACCGAGTTATGGGGGTGGTCATTTTTTACCCATGTCCAGATACGAATCTTGGGGTAAGATTTGGACATGAATTTCGACTAAAAAATCGCTGTTCAAATTTGAATGCCAGATTAATCTAGAGGGAAAACCATAAAGAAAAAGCCAAACTTCGTGAAAATCGGATGAGATTTGGCCGAGATATGGGGGTGGTCATTTTTGACCCATGTCTAGATACGAATCTTGGGGTAGGATTTGGACATGAATTTCGACTAAAAAATCGCTGTTCAGATTTGAATGCCAGATTAATGTAGAGGGAAAACCATAAAGAAAAAGCCAAACTTCGTGAAAATCGGATGAGATTTGGCCGAGATATGGGGGTGGTCATTTTTGACCCATGTCTAGATACGAATCTTGGGGTAGGATTTGGACATGAATTTCGACTAAAAAATCGCTGTTCAGATTTGAATGCCAGATTAATCTAGAGGGAAAACCATAAAGAAAAAGCCAAACTTCGTGAAAATCGGATGAGATTTGACCGAGTTATGGGGGTGGTCATTTTTTACCCATGTCCAGATACGAATCTTGGGGTAAGATTTGGACATGAATTTCGACTAAAAAATCGCTGTTCAGATTTGAATGCCAGATTAATCTAGAGGGAAAACCATAAAGAAAAAGCCAAACTTCGTGAAAATCGGATGAGATTTGGCCGAGATATGGGGGTGGTCATTTTTGACCCATGTCTAGATACGAATCTTGGGGTAGGATTTGGACATGAATTTCGACTAAAAAATCGCTGTTCAGATTTGAATGCCAGATTAATGTAGAGGGAAAACCATAAAGAAAAAGCCAAACTTCGTGAAAATCGGATGAGATTTGACCGAGATATGGGGGTGGTCATTTTTGACCCATGTCCAGATACGAATCTTGGGGTAGGATTTGGACATGAATTTCGACTAAAAACTCGCTGTTCAGATTTGAATGCCAGATTAATCTAGAGGGAAAACCATAAAGAAAAAGCCAAACTTCGTGAAAATCGGATGAGATTTGACCGAGTTATGGGGGTGGTCATTTTTGACCCATGTCTATATACGAATCTTGGGGTAAGATTTGGACATGAATTTCGACTAAAAAATCGCTGTTCAGATTTGAATGCCAGATTAATCTAGAGGGAAAACCATAAAGAAAAAGCCAAACTTCGTGAAAATCGGATGAGATTTGACCGAGTTATGGGGGTGGTCATTTTTAACCCATGTCTATATACGAATCTTGGGGTAGGATTTGGACATGAATTTCGACTAAAAAATCGCTGTTCAGATTTGAATGCCAGATTAATGTAGA